TAATATGGCTAACCTCTTATAAAGCTATAATTTTCTATTTATTTTCTTAAAGTATCTGCTAGTTATATGCTTTGTATTTGATTTATGGGAAAAATACTATCAAAAACTAAGTATTATCACTAAAATGCCTTTCATTCTAACTCTTCTCCAAAAAATCACAAATCTCCCATTACAGAAGTAGCTCATAAATGTATACTTTATTTATTTAATAATTCAATATAGGAAATGTGTTTAGAATCTTTTAATACATAAATTCTACGCTAGGTTCCATTAAGAAACATGGTTTTCCAATAAAGTGCTTAAAAAGACTACCATAGAAATCATTGCCAAAGAAATTTAGGAATCATCTAGTTCAAATTCTTCTTTTACAAAGTAGGAAATGAAGCCTGTTAAAATTCATCAGAAAAGAAGTAATGTATTCTTAATTCTTTCTTGTCTAGTTTGAGCATGCTATTCTCCTAACTATCCTATCTGGTCAATCTACCAATGTGCATTTATGTCATCATAACATATATACCGTCTCAATTTTTCATGGTTTAGAACTTAACTTACTCTTCAAATTGTAAAGTGGTAAAACATCTTTGCTTTGCTCTCAGTGATTTTTCTGAGTATTTGCATATCCATAGGCTTGTTTCAGACTGAAGGGCACTATGTGTAGGGGTTAGGTACATTGGCACCGGCAAAAAAGCTTCCTAGATTGCAATTCCAGTTTTATATTTATCTAGCCCTGTGATATTAGATAGGTTTCTTAATTATTTTAAATATTAGTTTCCTCATTGATAAAATGAGGATAAATAATAAAGAGCTATTGTGAGGTTTAATGAAGATAACATACGCAATCTGCCTAGAAAATGGTAAATTGATAAATTGTATATTAATTGTATATAAATTGCAGTTAAGACTAGTAATAGTGGTAATAAGAGTGGTAGCAAGAGTAGTTTGGGGATCCTAGCAGGGAGAAACAAGTTCTGCTGAGAATGATGCCTAACAAAACCTCAAGTGTACATATCTTTGATAATGGTAACCTGTAAAAATCATTTAATTGTGTAAAACAGCTGTATGGGGAATCATACAAAAATTGTTCACGTTTTTGTATTATAATAATGATATCAAAGAACAGATAAGGCATACGACAATGGATCAATTTCACATGTATCAGGTACAATAAAATATAAGAGCATGCAGGTCTCCATGAATCTAAAAGAACTTTTATTTCTAAAGAGCAGGTATACTCAAGATTAAAACAGGTTTGAATTCTGGTTCTGCCACTTACAAGCTGCTTGATTTGGGAAAAAATTACTTAATGTTTCTGTGTTTCATTTTCCACATTTGTAAAATGGGGATAGTAGTAGAACCTACTTGGTAGAAATGGAATGAAAAATAAAAGAAGTAATATTGAGAAGTGCTTAGTACAATACCTGTACAAAGCAAGCATTTATAAAACTGTTAGTTCATATTGTTCAAAAGAGTGAATAATGCTCTCTAAGACAAAACAAAAAACAAAAAAACAAAGAAATTTCTACAGAATTAAAAGGTTTTTGGTCTGAAACCAAATAAGTTCTCATTTTTGGAAGTGATTCTAATCATACTCTACATTCTTCATACCTAGGTTTCATTTCTATAATCTAGAGTGACAAAGAACCTTGTAAGTAAATCCAAGTATTAGTAAATCTGATTTAAATTTGACCTTATTCTTTTTTCCCCAGGAAAAAAGGAAAATCATCCTAAAGCATCAGTAAATAAGAAAAACAATAACAAACAATTGACCAAAAGCTGTCAATGAAAAAATGAGGAAATCAGAGCTATTCTAAAGTTAAGATGATGGCAAGCTGAAGCAGAGGCTCTTAGTTGTCCCAATACCATTCTCCCATTATTCTCCCCAAATAACTGAATATTTATTTGTTATGTAACCAACCAGAAAAAAGACTACATACATGCTTAGTCTTCCCTGCACCTAAGTGTGGCCAGCTGACTGGGTTGTGGTCAGTGGGATGTAGATATCATATAGCAGCTAATGCAGACCATCTTGAAGAGAACACAGGCACAAGCTTTTGCCTTGATCTTCTTGTCCCTTCCCCTGCCCTCTGACTGGAAAGAGGAAGCTGGTTGGGTCAGGGGGATAAGGGCATTCCAGGGATGTTGTGTGTGATTGTGCTGACAGTACAATGCACAGTTGTACAACACACTAGTGGGAGAGGCACGAAAAGCTGGACACAGTCAAGGTCCCTAGCAATTGGAAAGACACAGTAATAGCCCTGGACAGCTGGAATCTAGATTTGGTTTGTGAGAGAATAGAACTTTGTATGATTAAGCTGCTCTTGCCATCGGTTTTCTGTTATATGAAACAAACCTAATTTAACTTACACAACTACAAATGTCTAGTTATCTCTTTCTACAATGGTACTGAAATCTAGCAATAAATGTAGAATGAAAATAGTTCTGGAAAGAATATGAAAGCAGCATAAAATATTATTATGCATAAAAGGAATGAATAAAACACAAAGATATTCTCCTTTTCCTTTATATTTTCCTGAATTTTGCAAAGGTTGTCAATGAGCGTATATCATGTTTATAACAACCAAATAAAAAATCAACTTAAGTGCACAAATAAAAATGATGCAATAGTTGAAAGCAAAATTTATTAAAAACGGCATTTTTAAAATCAATATTTTTTTTCACAGAAAATAGCTATTTCTTGGGCACCCTCTGCTTAACCCTACGAGCAGGCACTTTCCTGCCGTTCCTCACAATGCCCTGCCAAATCCCCACTTCTCATTTCAAATAGCCTGAACTAGGCTGAGGCCTGAAAGTACGTTTAAATATAGTCTTGTCAATGATATCTTTCTTTCGGCGGAAGTGAGCGCTATATCCCTAATCCCAGCAGCATTTCCTGCAATGTGTAATAGACCACTTTTTACTTTACAGTAAATGTTACATATCTCTAAGAATATTATAAAGTTCCCTGGAGCACGCAGTTCTTTGTCTTTCTACTTATCTAATCTTTCATTTGTTTATTCATGTGTTCAGTTACTTATTTGACAACTGATTATTGAATATCTCTGTGATATGCCAGATATTGTACAAGACACAAGGAGATATGAGAAAATAAAACATGTTCTGTTCATTTAATAAGTGAGCTAACCATGGATAAGAAGAGAAGGAATGGCAAACACATGAATTTAATACAATGTGGTAATTTCTAGGGAAGAGACATGTATACAATAAGGTGACAGAACGCTTACTTCCACTTGAAGAAGGTCAGGAAGGCTCTCACAGAAGTACTGACTCTTAAATTAATTTTTTATAAAGACCGATAGGCATTTCGAGGCACATAAGTAGATGGAAATTGTAGGGAGGAGAGGACAGGAAAAAAAGTACATGGGGGCCCAAATTAGTGAAAATAAATTGCAGGAAAAAAAATCAGTTTTGTGTGGTTAAAAGCACAGGGAGTGAAGGGAAACTTGAGAGAAACTAGGAGCTTTGAATATCACACTCTCTGCCCGGTGCTTTTAACATGGTATTGATTTAACAAATGTTTTCTATTACTTTCACACGTACTCTGCATCAGGCAATGGGTCCTTATACTGGTTAACTTGACCACACCTTGTAGATATTTAGGAGGCAGGAATAGCATTATATATATGTATATATAATGTATATTCATAAAATATATATCCATATATTGTATATTATATAATATTATAGTATAATCAAAACATCTATGGAAACATTTGGTCAATGTTAAAAGGTATTCGATCTTTGATCCTGTCCAAAATGTCCACAAGCATATTTGGTTCATGCCAAACGGTCCCTGATATTTGGTCTTGTCCAAAATGTCCATGCTTAGAAAACATCTCTGGGTTCAGATTAGCCCATAACGTTTATTTAGACTTTTGGTTTACACGGTTTACATATAAAAAACACTATTATGTGTTATTGCTCCAATAACTGTGTTGTGGCTGTATTACCAATAACAACTCCTCCTTGCCTTGGTAGCCCAGCTAGTGATGGTGCATGGGGTAAGGTAGATGAGTTGACATTGACCAAATGTCTCTATGGACATTTTGGACAGGACCAAATATCAATGTCCTTTTAGCATGGACCAAATGTCTTTGTCACACTTTGGACATGGCCAAATGTCCATTAATTGTATATAAATAAAATGCATAATGCATTATAATGCACTGCCTCAATTTTCTCATTTCCTCAGATGCGGAGGCTAAACTAATGTTTTAAGTGATTATAACATGTGACATTTAGAGAAGGATTGTGTGTTAAGTACATGTCCAGACCATTGCTGCTTTCTAAGCCTATATTAAAAAACCTGTCTGAATGCAGTAAATGTGGTCACACCAATTATATATCCTCATCCTATTTAAGAAAGAAGTTGCCAAAAATGGGTTTCCTCAGCATAAAATTATTTATTCTACTACTCGATTTGAAATAAGTCATGTATTAAATGTTAATTAAATATAATGATATTAAATAATGAAAGGAGGGGAGGTTATAAGCTTAACTGAGGATAAAATTTAATACCATAAATAAATATTTATTGATCACAGTATAGCATACTATTTTCTTTCCTTAAAAATACAAAGAAAAATTAATACATTATATTGTTCTGACGAAGACGTAAATATATTTCTAAAAGGCTTTTGAAACTGTAAAGCACTATAATACTATTATTGTTTATTCAAGTGTGTAGCCTGAGAAATTAAATTATTGTGTTCAAAAAAGAAGGAAATTATAATCCAAGTGGTAATAACCACTGCTTTTCTACTTTCAGGAATTTTCTAACTTTCGATATTTAATCAGTCTTTTCAAAGTGCCAAGTATTTGTAATATAAGTTTATTTTTTATATATATTAAGAGATACTATTGTGTTTTCTGAATCTTTGTTCTGATCTGTTGCATTCTAAGCAAACTTTACTGAGGAGATAAGGAATAGAATTGGCATAAACACACTGATCAGGGTCTAAAAACAAAAGTTCATTTCATACCTTCAATAGGTTTTGGTACAAAATGTGATGAAGGCTTGGTTTTCTTCACCCTGTTCCCCTTCATAATTTGACCTTCTTTATTGAGTCCCAGAAACCATGCTCGGCCTGATTCTTGCTGACGGTACAGTGTGGAAGAATAGATCACATAGTAGTTCTCAAACACAGATTCCTTAAATTTGCATTCTGGAGTAAAAACATCCTGCAGAACAAAAGATACAAAAGAGAAAGGATTTTAAAATGAATCAGCAAATGCTTAAATCCAATGAATCTGAAATACAGGTACTCTGTTAAGAACGAATGAGAAGCAACTGCACGTAATTTCTAAGCCCTTGCTTATAAAGATTCATCATGCAAAATGAAGAAATAATATTTCCTTTCTAAATAGCCTTTACCCTACAGAAACCAACTGCTCAGGCTAGAGTTACTCATTGGGCTAATATCAAAACTGTGACCAGGTTCAAGCTCTGATCCCAGTACAACGTTTCGTAAATTTAAGAGACTAACCATTGCACATTTTGTGGCCCTTAGCATGTAAAATGTATCCCAGGGAATCAAAATCAAATACAACCACAGCATACACAGGCTAACCAGATGTTTTTGAAGGGACTATTCTAGGTGTATAAAAATCTATTACACAGCCAAAGTTTGTTCCATTAAATCACCAGAATACTCTCTCTTGGCGAATGTCGCTAACTTTTCCTTTAATCTCTTGGAAACACTTTTCTTGTTTACTTAGTAATCAAAATCTCAGGTAAAGATACCCAAGAATAATAAGCAGAAAACATATTACTATTGCATTGTATGATCTTCAGTGAAACAAAGAGTTTTAATTTAAGATGAAACCTTTAAAATCCTTTACTTCAACTCCATCATTTGACTAGTGAAACAACCAAAAGGTTATGCGATTAAGTCAACGTTACACCAAAAAATTACTGCATCAATGCCAGAACTCACATTTATTGCTTCACAATCACTGCCACTCAAGCTCACCTTTTCTGCCTGAGTCTTTAATGATTTATGATGAGATTTTGTAATAAACACAATAAAATCAAATCCTAACATATCAAATAAACAAAATGTATTTCACAGAAAGAAGAAATTCCACCCTTTCAAAGACGAGCAGAAGAAAAACAAAGGTAATAGCATTTTCTTCAGCAACAGTAAATAAGAATCCTACATATCAAATATACTCACAGTATTCACTACCTTGGTCATTATACATTGGAAGTATCTCCTCCTTGTAACCCTTTCAAATGCAAGGTCCCGATGATTTAATGTGGTTACAACTAGAGTTAAGTTACTGAAGAATATGTGAGACTGAAGCTGGTGGGAACCACATCCTAGTAGGTGAAACGCCCTAATTCCTTGGCTTCATTTGCAGAGAGCTACAGTGATGCATCTATGGGGACTCATGAAGGCTTTCAGATACTGCTTAAGGGGCTCTATGGATTATAAATTGTTCTAAAATTACAGACCAAGAAAATGAGACTATAAAATGGGTAGGGGAATGGAAAACTGAGTGTAGATATTAAATAATAATAGTTTTGATAATAATGATTATTATTATATGGATGCTAAATATGATACCATAGAATACTCTCAGTTTCAAGTAAATGTAGTGGCTTTAAGAATCAGAGAAACAAGCAACTATGCAAGACCATTTTACATCAACTATGATGGCTATAATAGAAAAGATGGACAATAAAAACGTGTTGGTGAGAATATGGAGAAAATGAGACCTCATACATTGCTGGTAGGAATGTAAATAATAAAGCAGCTGTGGAAAATAGTTTGGCAGTTCCACAAGAGGTTAAACATGCAGTTACCACATGGTCTGGCAATTCTATTTCTAGGTATATAACCATAAAAATAAAAACATATATCGACACAGAAACTTGTGCAGAAATGTTCATAGCAACAATATGCCTAATGTGAAAACAATTCAAACATCTATCAATGGATCAATGGCCAAATAAATTGTGGTATATCCATACAAGAGGATATTATTAAATATAATATAAAAAAGAATAGAATACTGATTCATGGTGCAATATGGCTGGACTTCAAAAACATTATGCTAAATGAACAAAGCCAGGCACAACAAGCCATTTATTATTTCATTTACTTGAAATATTCAGAATAGGCAAATCCAGAGACAAAAATAGATTAGTGGGTAAATGTCGCCAAGGGCTTGGGGGCGGGGGGGCGGGGGTGGAGTGGGTAAATGGAGAGTAACTGCTTTTTTGGAAAGATGAAGGTATCTGGGATTAGATAGTAGAGACGTTTGCACTTTGTGGGAAAAACCAATGAAGCACATGCTTTAAAAATGTAAATTTAATGGTATGTGAATTGTGGCTCAATAAAAAAGAAGGAATCTGAGAAACAAAGTGTCTGGGTAAAGTGAGGAGAAAGGAAAGTATTGTCAATTTCTTGTTTGGCAACAAAGGAGTAAATGATAATCCCATTCGCTGGAAAATGGGCTCGTCTGTGACCTTGTCTCAATATTACTAGGACAGAATTTAATCACTACATATTAGAAGAATCAATGTGATTCAGATTCATTTCATGAGATAATTTTAAATTCTGGTTTTCTTCTAGGACTAGGTTAAAAGATACGACTAGGTTAAAAGATACAGAAAATGCTAAAAATTTAGTACAGAATTTATTTTATATG